ATGGGTCTTGGCCAGGATTATCTTTTGGTTCAATTAAGTAATTTACGTTGGACAGCTTCTCTAATATTCTATATGGGCCAAAATATTTTCTCAGTAGTTTCTCACACTTTCCTATTTTCCTAATTGGTGTCCAAACTGCTACTACTCCTGGTTCGTAGCTTCTTTCCATGTGTTTCTTGTCATAGTTCTTTTTCATTCTTTCTTGAGTCTTTATTGTGTTGTTAATAACTAATTTTCTTGTTCTGTTTATTTTGTCTAAGTGATGTTTTATGTATTCATCATAATCATCTTTGTCAATGTCCACCGAGATATTCCTGTCGTCCAAAAGAGACGTGGGTTCTCTTCCAAACATCAGGAAAAAGGGAGAATATCCTGTGGTTTCCTGAATTGTAGTATTGTAAGCGTGAGTGATGAATGGGAGTATTTCGTCCCAATTTTTCTGATCAGTGTTCACATACATACTGAGCATATTGATCAATGTTCTATTTAACCGCTCTGTCAATCCATTAGTCTGGGGATGATAGCTCGTTGTGAAGCAATGTTTAATCTTGCACGTTTTCATCACCTCTTTCATTAAATTACTGGTAAATTGAGAGCCTCTGTCACTAATAAGATATTGTGGGGCTCCGTGCCGAAGAAAAATATCCTCTACTAGAAATTTAGAAACTTCTTTCACTGTTGCTTCCGAGACTGCTCTTGTTTCTGCATATCTAGTGTAGTAGTCCGACAGCACGATTATCCATTTTTTCCTGTTTTTCGTAGATGGTAGTGGACCAACAAAGTCAATTCCAATTCTTTCGAAAGGAAAGTTGGCTGGGGGGATGGGCTGTAGTAGTCCAGAAGGTAATTGGTTTGAGCCTTTCCTACTTTGGCAAAGGTGACACGTCTTAACGAATTCTGAGACATCCTTTAGCATGGATGGCCAAAAGTATTTACTCTTTATTCGGTACATGGTTCTGGTGACGCCCAGATGGCCATTCGACATATGATTGTGATATTCTTTCATAATTTCTCTCTTTTTATACTCTGGAACCACAAGCAACCACGCCCTGCCTTCAGGGTTCGGGTTTTTCTTAAAGAGGCATCCATCTTCTTCTTTAAAGTTTTGCGCAATTGATCGCCTGCTTCCATTAAGGTTTTTCTTAACACTTTCGATAAATTTATCCTCTTCGTCTGTTATTTGATTTAAAAATAGCCTTTCAAAATCCTCATCCCAATCAGTTTCTGGTAAGGGCCCCCTAGATAAGCCATCGGCGTCCAGATGCTTCTTTCCCCGATTTATGTATTATATCGAAGTCATATTCTTGAATTTTCAATGCCCATCTTGCCAATCGACCTGTTGGATCCTTCAAGTTTTTGAGCCAGCATAAGGCGTGATGGTCTGTTACTATTTTAAAGTGTCTTCCATAAAGGTAGGGTCGTAATTTTGACATTGACCAGACAACGGCCAGACATTCTTTTTCAGTGGTTGAATAATTTTGCTCCGCTTTACTTAGGGTACGACTCAAATATGAGATCACCTTCTCTTCACCACCGATGTCTTGGACAAGTGTTGCACCTATGCCGATGTTGGACGCATCAGTATGAACATAAGTAGGTGCATTTGGATTGAAGTGACCTAAAATTGGTGGACTTAATAGTGCTGTTTTCAGGGTTTGAAACGCTTCCTCTTGTCTTTCTGTCCAGGTAAATGATACACTTTTTTTTATAAGGTTGGTCAAAGGGTCAGCAATTTTTGAAAAGTCTTTGATAAATTTTCTATAATATGAACACATTCCCAAAAAGGATTGTACTTCTTTGACCTTTTTGGGTCGAGGAAAATTTCTGACAGCTTTGATGTTATGTTCCGCGGGTTTTATACCATGTTTGCTCGTTATATAGCCGAGAATCTCCAATTCTTCAAAAGCAAATCGGCATTTTTTGTCGTTTAACCTTAAATTAGATTCACGAAAACATCTAAAAACAGCTTCAAGTCTTTTGAGGTGCGTTGGAAAATCCGGGCTATATATGATAACATCATCCAGATAACACAAACAAATTTGCCATCTCAGATTTCCAAGCATATTCTCCATATTTCTCTCAAAGGTAGCAGGCGCATTACAAAGTCCAAAAGGCATCACGTTGAATTCATATAATCCATGCGCTGTAGTGAAAGCTGTTTTCTCTTTGTCTCTTTCTTCGACTTCAACTTGCCAATATCCAGATCTGAGGTCTATTGCTGAGAAGTGTGTAGATCCTTGGAGAGTATCCATAACTTCGTCTATTCTAGGGATCGGATAGACATCTTTTACTGTCACATTATTCAGTTTTCTGTAGTCCACACAAAATCTGTATTTACCATCTCGCTTCTTGACCAATATTACTGGAAAAGACCAGGGGCTAGAAGATGGCCTAATTATGCCTTCTGTAAGCATCTCGTCAATTTGCTCTTTTATAATATCTCGTTCTTTAGCACTTACCCGGTAAGGCTTGTGTTTAATTGGCTTCGCGTCTTCTGTGTCTATCCGATGTTTTGCCAAATTGGTTCTCCCTAATCTCGATGAAAAAAGATCTCCATACCTTTCTAAAACTTGTTTTAACTCCTTCTGTTCCTTTGGTGAAAGATTTTCGTTTATTTGGAATCTAGGTTCTTCGTTCTTTTCTACCTCTCTTTCTCGACTCACATTTATTTTCGCTGGACTACTTCCAAAAGCCAATGTTTGGTTTTTCATTATTTTTAACGGTCGAGGATACGGATTAGTTATCCAGACGTGTGTTTCCCTATTTATAACATTGATCAAGCTTCTTGCTAGACGAAGTCCTTTTGTTTGGAACATTTTGCTGCTCTCCTCGATAATATATTCTCCATCCTCTGTTTCTACCAATGCCTTGATCAATTTCATGGAACATTCCGGTACAATGGAATCCTTGGCACTCTTTATTTTCAACATTTCAAAATTGATTTCGTCATGATTATTCGTCAAATCATATTTTATAGTTTCTTGCTTACAATCTATTTTTGCGTTCATTTTCTTAAGGAAATCTCTCCCAAGAATTAATGTCCGTAAATGCGTTTTCAATATCACAAAGTTGTGTGATAATGTTTCGTCATCAATTTTTATATTTAAAAATATACTTCCTACCATGTCCAATTTTTTTCCATCGGGTCCTGCACAAATTTTTGCGAGTTTACTTATACCATGGCCTGTATCGAGGGCCGTTCTGAGGTCGACCACTGAGAGGTCAGCACCTGTATCAACCAAAGCTTCAAAAGTCCCTATCTTGTCCACATTAATTTTTAATTTGTATTTAGGGTCCAACTTCTTGATTCCGTTTATGGTCGACTTGCTTTGATTGACAGATTCAGGCGCGACGCTTAGTTTAAATCTTCCAACACGGAATATCTATTCCGGGTAGGAATATTTGTCTGTGTGCTATGACATACATCAGCATAAAGCCGAGGTCCTGATTTCTCTGATATTTCATTCATTTGGCATTTTTCTTCGACCTTCTCTTGGGTATCTGCTGGATCCTCTTCTAGGATTCTTATAAACTTGACCCTACAATAACGGGCCACGTGCCCTGGCTTGTTACATTTAAAGCAGATTGGTCTTCCATCTTCCGTCCTATTTTTGCTCACTTCTTGGCTTTTATTGAAAGTGTTTCTCTGAAGGTTTGGTTTCGGCACAAAGTTAGGATTATAAGGACGTCTAGGGGTAGAGGGCTGGGGAAAGTTGTTTCGATACTGTCTGGGGGTAGGAGGGGAGTCGTTCTTGTAATTATTGGAAACAGGGGCTTGGGGCCTGGAAGTGGTCTGGTAGTTTCGTGCGGCAGTCGGCGGCACGTACCTCGATTGTTGTTGGGGTCTAGAATAGCGTGGACCGTTATATAGGTTTCTGGATTTCTCCACACGTTCCCGATACTTCTTTTCAAAATAATCCATTTTCTTGCATACGACAAGAAGGTCATCGGTCGTTTTAGGAGGGTTCAGGTAGAGCGCGAATGAGTACTCTTTTTTCAGTCCTCCAATAACATGTTCAATTTTTGTTTCTTTTTCCATTGCGGGGTCAACCTTGTTGCACAACACTAGAATGTCTTCCGCGAACCTGATTGCTGGTTCATTCCAGTGTTGCATTCTGTTGAGCTTCATTCTAAGTTCTTCTTTATTCGCGTCCAAAGAAAAATCCTGAATGAGGCGGATTTTAATATTTTCCCAGCTCGTGAAACTAGCTTTGTGTAAATTCAACCAGGTTTTAGCGCTTCCCGTCATGTTCATGGCGGCATAACGAGAGATAATGTAGTCTGCCCAATGGTACAAGAAGCCAATTTCTTCAAGAGATTCAATCCATGGGCGAGGGTCTTCCGTTCCATCATACTTGGGGATGTCGATGTTGGGATTCAGGACAACTGGGTCGGAACTAGCATCTCTACCAATTGTTGCACCAGGTTGCGGCTTGGCAGACTCTTCAGCCTGGATTCTCTCCTGTGCTGGGTCTTGCATCTTACCAGAGCGTGTTTCAACCATCCTACAAATTTATAAAAGGGAATAACGAGATAAGTCTTCTTTAAGTAGCCACCTAGAATCCTCTATTTATTTTCTCACATCAAAGAGAGCAGTGAAGTCACAGTGTACCTAAATACAAATGATGATAAATTAATAATCTGTTTTAAATAAATATCATAGAATATTTTATATAAAAATAAATAAATATATAATTTAAATTTCAAATATATTAAAACTAATATAAGAAATACGCCATTAATCATGATGTAACAATATATCTCTATATATATATATATAAAAGTCAATTTCTGTCTGTCTGTCTGTTTCGCGATAAACTCAAAAACTACTGAACCAATTGATACCAAATTTTGCATGTCGCTTTTTATAAACCTGAGGAAAATTTTCGGCTGCATTTTGATTAGTATTTTTGGCTATTTCTTTTTTTCATTTGAAGAACTTTTTTTACGCGGACTAATCCGGAATGGAATGAATACCTAAATATGGCCATTTTTTTAAAGCATCGGTGGTTCAGTGGTAGAATGCTCGCCTGCCACGCGGGCGGCCAGGGTTCGATTCCCGGCCAATGCATTTTTTTTTAACAATTTTTAAAACTCATTTATATTATATCTTCTGTATATATAAAAATGAATGTTTGTATGTTTGTTTGTTGGTTTGTATGTCCGGTATACAAATTCGCAGTAGTTCACTAATTCAAACCAAAATTTCCATACATAGGTAAAAAAATACGGGGAAGACGATAGGCTATTTTTAAAAAATATATAAATCAATTATTAAAACTATATATTATTAGTCAGAAAATGATGATGACGATATTGCTGTATCATGTGAGATTATCAGATACAAAATTATATCGGGAAAAATTCCAAAAAGCAGAGACCACGGGTGAAACCAGCTCATTATTTTGTACGCAGGAACAAAATTCTAACAGAAAAACATCCATTCGAGCAGAAAACAAAAGCCAGATCATCTTTCTATAAAAATATCGCTTCTCAGACACAAAGTTTGGAGCGGGACGTTTCACAAGAGTGACATCCACGCCGCCAATTTATAATTGTAACGAATAGTATTTAAATAAAAACATTTAATTGGGTAAAACTCGGGCGTTGCCCGGGTCATTCAGCTAGTATATATATATATATATTTTATGTACTTGATTTTTACCTTAGTGGTTTACTGGTATTGATAAAAGTTGTTGACTGATGTCATTAAATTTATTTTTACAATTCTCTAATCCACATCTGCCTTCCATGTCCAATGGGGATAACAAACCCACCCAAACTGCTGGTTTTGGCCCTGTTAACATGACTAATGGTAAACATAAGGTTATAAGACCAAATCCAATTGGGTGACGTTTTGGTAACAGCGTTGTTACCATCTTCAGCCTGTTACTGAAACATCACACGCTATTTATTTATTTAGATTAGGTCTTATTACCTTGTGTTTATAATCTATAATCCAAATTGTGCCTTATCATGACTAGTGGTACTGACACTATCTTCCTATGTTGATATTATGAATGAGAATTGCATGTTCAAATTTGATTCATTTTGAACAAGGTGTAGCTGAACCATTGGACTAACCAACTCCTGCGGGAGGATAGAGCTGATAAAGTTGGGTGGAGCCAGGAAGTGGAGGTGTCAAGTTCCACCGTGTCAGTCCCCAGCCCCACACAGGACCCTGACCCCTGTACTTCTCTGCTAGAGCCCCAGGAGTCTGCTCTACTGGCCCTCTCCGGCACAGACTACTCTGACACCCCTGGTATGTTCAACCAAGGAATATAACAGTGCCAAATACAGATGACAAGTATCTAACACTACTTCTCCTGTGCCAAATACAGATGACAAGTATCTAACACTACTTCTCCTGTGCCAAATACAGATGACAAGTATCTAACACTACTTCTCCTGTGCCAAATACAGATGACAAGTACCTAACACTACTTCTCCTGTGCCAAATACAGATGACAAGTATCTAACACTACTTCTCCTGTGCCAAATACAGATGACAAGTATCTAACACTACTTCTCCTGTGCCAAATACAGATGACAAGTATCTAACACTACTTCTCCTGTGCCAAATACAGATGACAAGTATCTAACACTACTTCTCCTGTGCCAAATACAGATGACAAGTATCTAACACTACTTCTCCTGTGCCAAAATAGAGATAAGGACTACAGTAGAACCTCCATGAGAGGACACTCACGCTAGAAGACACCTCTCTACAAAGGATAGTTTTCATTTGCAAAATTACCATTTTTACTATGTAACAACTCTCCAATAAGAGGACACCTCTCCATAGAGGACACTTTTGTTCTGCAACTAGGTTTCCTTTACAGAGAGGTTTTACTGAATATTTCATTTTTGGCCATAGAATTGGCTTAGCTACTTTACCAGCTGTTACTGGAAAATTCTGATGGTTTCATGAATGTAGATCTCATGAAATTAAAGTTCACTCTGTCCTGACAAGGCTCTTTAGCCTGAACCATAGTCTCCAGGTGGGCTTACTGAACAGAACCTAAGAAACACCCAGCAGTATGCATATTGTGGAAGTAATCCTGAGAATGTGCAGGTTGTTCAGTCCTGCTCAAGTATGTGCCAAGCTCTGACCAATGGGAGGCTGTAGGCCAGCTGCCCCAGCCCACAGATGGCTACAAGGCCGTGGTGCATGGCCATCATCTCTATATTATTGGTAAGAATCTGCTGGTAGCAACTAGGTTTCACTCTGTAAGTCATGATGATGAACAGGGTCTGTGAATGCTTATGTCCCACATGTAGGAATTACTTAACCTTTGTACTTACCAGAGAGGCTACACACTGATTGGACTTATGTAAGAATTGAGGACAGCTGAAATAACATTTGTGAGTATGCTCCCATGTTGTCCTTGAATGTGTCGTGATGGGTGTCCAGCATATGAACTTTGAATGGACCATAACACCAGATTTTCAATCAACTTGACATAAGTATCAGCCTTGTGGTTGCCAGGAAGCCAAGAATCACTTAAACAAAACTGTTCCAAGCTGCCTTCTGCATTCTAGAGAGTGTCTTCATGAATTCCTTACATTCTGTTATTTCCTTTATCTGTGGTCTCTCAAAGATAACTGCCTTAACTTTGGCCTCCGATAAATTATGAAAAAATTACGGAGGAAAATAAATGTAGTTGACTATCTAAGGCTGTGACGAATTGCTTCATATGAGCCAACTTGATGTGGAGTGGTCGCAATAAAACCTTTTGAGAGTCCACTACCACTGCCACTTGACGTCTCTTGTCCCCACAGAGAAGTTGGATCATGAGGACCACTCACGTCTGAGTAAGGGGGTTTAGTGTCTCTACCGTCCCAGAAACCAAGGTAGCAGGGAGTTTTGTAAACCCACCCTGGAGTCCGTTCAAGAAGGCGATCTTGTTGTTGCAGAAGACGACTCCATTTCAAAATGTGTAGAAGTAGAAAAAAGATATTGTAAAATTTAGAATGAGAGAGTAACATGTGGTAGCTATTGTTGCAAGTATCATCGGCCTAAAAATAATAGTTACAACCTCCGTTAATAGATTACTTATTACAAAACTTTAGCCTATTTCCAGTCTAGGGCTGATGTATGGAACTGGCTTACTGCTATAATCCTGTTTATGATTGTAAATACAATTTTATATATTTGTCATAAGGTTTAAATTGCTGTAAATATCTGGTGACTGACATTCAAGTGAAATGTAGATGAAAGATTGCAATAAAAGAGGATTTTTCCCAGTTGATATTGCTGTTGTGACTTCCACCTCCAGCATCACTATAGCTACTCTTCTGGTAAGTCTCCGTGTCCCCCCACCAGTGGTAAGGCCGAGAGATACTGCCAGAGGAAAAGAAGTTCCACAGGAGTAGTGGATCTCAGAGGCTTTGGGCTGTCTGCGGGGTAGAGTTGCAGGGGATAGGCAATGGCGTCAAGGTTAGTGATCCAGGGGAAGAAGCAGCATTGTCACAAAGGACCAAGGGCAACACGCGACACGGTTATATTTTAATTTATATGATGATTAATAAACTGGATAATTAAAGAAAAAGATACAGAATAAAATTGGAACACAGAAAAAATCTGTATTATTGAAAAATTTGCACTAAAGATTTACATATTAGCGATGTAATACAGTTTTTTTTTTATTATTCCATTGTATAATTATACAAGGTCATGGAGACTATATTCATTGTTCAAATTCACAATCTTGGTAGGGTTGAAATATAGGTCCTGTCTTGAGGATCCCATACATTTCAAGAGGTGGTCTGGTGAGGTCTCTTTGGTCCTGTAGATGGTGCATTGTGGGAAGGTCTTTACACCATCCTGGAAGAGGAGAAGTCCTGTATGGCCAGTTTGAGCCTGGAGATACAGGTTGTTGCCTGTCAGTTCATCCCACATTCCAGAATAGCTCCAGGCTTTTGGTTCAGATACCATTGATGGGATGCTGACTCCTGTAGTATTTTGGATGTTTCTTTTGTGTGCGCATTTTTTAAAATGTATTACTGTAAATGTTATAAAATAAATAATTTTTTTTTACTAAATATTTGAATGAATATATATATTTTAACTCCCAATTAATTGCTCCCTGGTAAGAGGACATTTCTCTAAAGTTACTATGGCTCTGGAAATTAGGTGTTGTCCTTTAGGGAGAGTTGTCCAGTGAGCAGCCTATTGGTAAAAATGCTATTTTTGATGATGAAACTTGTAGAGAGGTATCTGCCAGCATGAAGGTTCTACTATATAATATACTTCCATTGTCATATTCCCCACCAAAATGACCATCTTAAGTCTTGAGAGTGTTGTCCAAACCACATCATTGATTGTATTGACTCATCCATTGATGAGCTCTACTTTATCCCCAGCAGACACCATCAATCAAAGTGTGCCAGGATCAACGAAAGCTGCACCCCTACACTCCATTCCATGAGATACAGCTTGAGGAGCATGAACTCATGGAATTTGTGCAATCTTTACACAAGGGGATAAGAAACAATGATAACAACAGACACCATCAATGAGCTCTACAAGCTTGTTACCCTAATATGATTGAGTGGAGATAAGAAAGAAGAAGAAAGAGTGTTGTTGTGGCAGGAGGCCAGAGTTTGGAGGGCAAGGCCTCCAACACCTGCCATGTCTGTGACCTGCGGACAACTACATGGAGCCCTCTAGAGCCTATGAAACATCCTCGCATCTACCACAGCGTGTTGGTGACCCCAGCCTCTCTGGTGGTGGTGGGGGGCAAGGACCACTCGGATAGGTGGGTCATCTACTCTGGAAGTAACATTTTCTGTTGTCTTTCTTTGAATGCAAATCTAATACAGTAGAACCTCCATGAGAGGACACCTATGCTAGAGGACACCTCTCTATAAAGGACTTTTTACTATTTAGAAAATCTCCGGTAGGAGGACACCTCTCCCTAAAGGACACTTTGGGTCTGCAATTAGGTGTCCTTTACAGGGAGGTTCTACTGTATATGTGAAATATGCAGATATATATATAAACATTTCATCTTCTTATATATTTCTATGTTTCTCCTGTGGAAGGACAGTAATACTCAGCAAAATAAT